CAAATGAACCTGAACCTCTCTCTCTCTCGATAAATATATATATATATAAAAGAAGAAATGTTCAAAGATAATTCTTAAGAAAGGAAAAGCAATAAACAAATGCAGTATATAAATGCACAAAATTGACATTTTTAGCAAAATTAACATGTTTAAAACCCAACTGGTGATTGTGATTGATCGATCATCACACTGTGGGACTATACATAAAAATAAAGGCAATAAATAAATTCACAAAATTGATGTTGTATGAAAAATGGCACGTTTTTTTTTTAGAATATTCACAAAGCCTTAGTGCCACATTTTCCATTGGCAATCAGTTGCTGAGTAAGGCTAGTCGTGGCATCTTAGATTATACTACCAGAAAATTATCTTATATAAAGACCAAAGGGAGCTAAGGTTGAGTAATCAAATAATAGGTTTGTCATCGAAATGGCCCTTCAACTCAATCAAGTTTTTTCCCAAACATTCTTTTCAGTATACAAAGCAAAGCAAAAGCTCCCACAAATTATTTTAAAGCCAAATAGCAGATTTTATCCTTCAATAAAGTGTGCGGACAAGAACAATGGTTCACATGAGAATATTCCTTTACCCGTTTACCAACCAACTATTTGGACTCATAACTTTATCGAGGCCTTAGATGTCAATTTCCCGGTAATTTGTTTATGCATTTTTCTTTTCATCTTAAGCTTATGACAATACAAATCGTGGGAATATATGTAATTCTGATGTTTAATAATTTTATGAACTTTTGATGAATGTACACAGATGAACTCCAGGGAGGAGGTGAAGGAGCTAGAGAAGAAAGGAATGGAATTGAATTTTGATTACGATAATGGTGATTTAAGTATCTTACAATTGCTTGAACAGATAGATGATATCGAAAGGTTGGGCCTTGACTATCGGTTTCAAAATGATATAAGGAGAGCACTAAATATTATCGCATCAGTAAATGAAAATAACATTGGACATGAAGAAAAAGAACGTAGTCTTCATGCGGCATCTCTTAGATTCAGGCTTCTTAGGAAACATGGTTATAATGTGTCTCAAGGTACTTCTAAATTTTCCTGAATAAACATCATGATTATCACGATAAATCCTATGCTCTTTATTGATATGAAAAATAACTTAATCTCTATATATTTCAATTTCTCATGATTAACATTCAATTTCAATTGAACACAGATTTTCTTTTAAGATTCAAGGATAGTCATGGTGGCTTCATGCGGTGTCTAGAGACAGATGTCAAGGGATTGTTAAGTCTATATGAAGCTTCATATCTTTCTTTTGAGTGGGAAATAGATTTGCACGAGGCCAGGTTATTTGCAACGAAACATTTGCTGAAACTTAAGTGTCAAGAAAATGAAGCTCGTGAAGACATAAATCATGCATTGGAACTCCCCTCTTATCGTAGGATGCTTAGATTACAAGCAAGGTGGTACATTGATGCATACAGTAAACGAAAAGATGCAAATATGCTTCTGTTAGAGCTTGCAACATTTGATTACAACATGGTTCAATCGGAATTCAAGAAAGAACTTCAAGAAGTATCAGAGTATACATAACTCGCCTTTTATCAGTTCTCGATAAACAAATTAATTGATAATATATTAATCAATAGTGACCTTTCTCTCTATATATCAAACAGGTGGTGGAAAAATATAGGCCTAGCAAGCAACTTAAGCTTCGTTAGGGATCGACTCATGGAATGCTTCTTTTGGTCAGTTGGAGTGGTATTCGAGACTCAATATAATTTTTGCCGTGTAGAGCTTACAAAAGTTTGTACGTTAATTACTGTCATTGATGACATCTATGATGTTTATGGTTCTCTTGATGAACTCGTGATGTTCACAGATGCTGTCAAGAGGTATGCAATTTTGAAGCGCCAATTTCATTACTCATGTCTTGTTTAATATCCATATGTAGCTAACTTGTATTTTTCATGGGGAAATGTTGATCATGTTATTTTAGGTGGGACATTAATGCAGTGAAACATATGCCCGAGTATTTACAACTATGCTTTCGCACTCTTTACAACACTATTATTGATATAGGTTCTAAGACCTCGATTGCACAAGGCGAAGACATCATACCAGTCCTAGTGAAAGTGGTTAGTATCACCATTAGGAATTCAAACTTCAATTCCTTAACTAACTACTAAGAGATTGACATCTTTTTATTGTTGGATTGACAGTGGGGAGAATTACTTGAAGCATTCTTGTTGGAAGCAAAGTGGACTCATAACAAATACATTCCAACACTTCAAGAATATATGGATAATGCATGGCGATCTGTCTCAGGAGTGGTTATACTTACTCATGGTTACTTTTTAATAAATCAAGAATTCAAGAAAGATGTAGTTGAGAACTTGGAGAAATATAACGATCTTTTGAAGTGGTCATCAATTGTTTTTAGACTTTGCAATGATTTGGGTACTTCATCGGTATGTTTTATTGCTCAACGTATTCATAAAACCTTTTAATCTACTGCTTTGTTTCTAACAATTGTATTTCTTTTGGCATATATAGGATGAGGTAGCTAGAGGGAAAACTGCAAATGCAATATCATGTTACATGCACGAAAATAGTGTTTGTGAGGATGTTGCACGTGAATATATAAAAACTTTAATCGACAAAGCATGGAGGGAAATGATCAAAGCCCGAGTGGCTTCTTCTCAAGAGTCAACAGATCCATTCATTGATATGGCTATTAATCTTGCTCGAATTTCACATTGTGTGTACCAATACGGAGATGGACATGGAGCTCCCGATGTTCGAGCCAAAGAGCGAGTCTTATCTGTGATTATTGAGCCCATTCCAATTGAGGACAATTAGGATTTTTCTGCAAAAATAAGGTCATTTGACAAACTCTTTGGAAAAATAGGGTCTTTTCAGATTTAGTTGTAAATATAGGGCAATGGTCCTCATCTACCTGTAAAGTTACAAAACATTATATATTTGATCCTTTATTTTTTCTTTTCAGCCTAACGTTCACATAATACATTTTATTTACACTAATTACATTTTAAATTCTTGTTTGTATATTCATTCTCAACAAATAAAATCTTTCTGGGATATCCTAGATGACGATTTTATAAATTTGTTCAACTAGTTTCATTCGGATGGTATTATCAACTCGATGCAACTCATCCTTCATCACATTGGTCCCGAAAGTATTTGATCCACTTTCCTTGGGTGATTAAATGCCAATCAACCTGATAGGGTGCATATATAAAGTTATTTCAAAGGTGCTCGCTAATCGTTTAAAATCTATTATCGGCTTTGTTGTTAGTGAAGTTCAAATGGCTTTTATTGGGGGAGACCATCTCCTGGCTGAAAATATCTAAGAGGAGTGCTCTACTTTTTCGGTAGATTTTAATAAGGCTTTTGACTCTTTTAGTTGGAGCTTTTTGGACTCCATAATGAGGTAGTTAGGCTTTCCCTCTCGGTGGTGTTTCTTGTAGTTTGGTTTTCCCTCTCGTTGGTGTTTATGGACTCCATAATGAGGTAGTTAGGCTTGTAAACGGAGCACCAACTGATGAGTTCTTAGTGAGCAAAGGTGTCATGCAAGGGGATTTGATTGCCCCCTTTCTTTTCATTATAGCAATGGAGGCCTTGAATACGGTGATGACTAAGGAATGTGACCTGGTATGTGGACGACGCTCTCTTCATTGGTGAGTGGTCTCAAATAAATTTATTAAACCTTGCTAGGATTCTCTGTTGCTTCCATCTTGCGTCAGGCCTTAAGCTTAATTTCTCCAAAAGCAAAGTATTTGGGATTAGGGTGATCCAGAGGGAAGTGGACATCTTTGTCCATTTTCTTCACTATCAATCCTCAATGTTGTATTTTTTCTTATGTGGGTTTACAAGTAGAGGCTAATATGTCTCTAATTAACAATTGGGATCCGATTGTGGAGAGATTTCAAGCGAGGTTATCTTCATTAAAGGCTAAATCTCTATCGTTTGGTGGGAGGATCACATTGATAAACTCGGTTATGAGGAGTCTCCCCTTATTTTACTTCACTCTTCAAAGCACCTTTGAAACTAAAATGATTAACCGCATAAAAATTAGAAGAAAATTTATATGGGAAGGAAGAGAATTAAAAAACAAAATTTGATGGATTAGAGGGGAAAAAATCTTGACGCCTTAAAACTAGGCGGTCTTGGGGTAATTAGGTTACGAGCTTTAAATCTTTCCTTGTTGTATAAGTGGGTTTGGATGTTAAAAATAGAACCAATGGCTCTCTGGTCAAAATTGGTTTTCTGAGTGCATGGTTTAAGCAGATCTTGGAAACTGTTCCCCGTTAGACCGGGTGCCTCGGGTGTTTGGAAAAATATAGTGAATATAAATTCAGACTTCATGTCTAAAAATCTTATTCTTTATGATCTTTTCAAAAAAGATATTGGTTGTGGGAACCTAACCTCATTCTGGTTTGAAATGTGGGCCATAGACATGCATTTCAAGATAAATTCCTTCTCCTCTTCAGCATTGAATCGTGTAAACAGTGCTTGGTTGCTGGTAGCTTATTTTTACTTGGAATTGGAGTAGTTTGCCTTGCTCTGATGCGAAGTTGGATGAAATGGATGGATGGATGAATGAGGTGACTAGTCTAACGACCTTAAATTATTACTTCTTAAGCAAATGATTAAAAGAAAAATCAAAGGTTATTAGTGAATGATTATTAAATAAAGTTGTAGTTCTCCCGGAGATGATTATGTGGATATAAAGATCATCAAAATCTGAATCTGTACGAGAAGGTTATGGCTATTCGAAAAGTATGGTGCTATCACTAGTACAAAATTGGGCTATATACATGCTAAACACCAGTCATTATAGACATTTTATGACATATTTTTTTTCATTCAATGTGTGAGGAAAGGTTGCGTGATTAATTGTGGTGACTATAACTCATAAAAAACCGTTGCTATACGTAAAAGCCGTCACTATAGGGTGGCAATTTTGTAGTTTTTTCAATCATTTTTTTATGCCCAAATCTATTTTTCGTCACATGTTATTTTGTTTTCATTACTATTGCTGAATATTAGTGACACGTTTTCTTTGTTTGTCATGACTATTGTGTACTTTTAGTCACTCATTTTTTTTTATTTTGTCATGACTATTGATGACTTTTAGTCACATTTTTTCATTTCTCATTATTGTTGTTGACTTTTAGTGACATATTTTTTCTTTAATCATGGCGACTGGTTACTTTCGACCACACAAAATAAATTAAATTGTGACCATAAGTTACTATTAGCCATAGGTTGATACGTTTTTCATGACAATTTTGTACTTTTAGTGACAAATGTTTTGTGTGTCCAAAAGTCATGACCATAAACCCCTTTTAGTCACATGTTTTTTTTTATCAATAGAGAGTTCAACAAAAAAGTAGAATAACTAAAAACCAAATACAATTTCAAATACAATGATAGTAAACATTAATATGAAAAATATCAAATACAAGTTCAACAAAAATGATAATTATCCAATACAAGTACTTGTCCATTGTTCAACCACTTTCTCACATCACCAGGGGTAAAAATATCCAGCATTCAATAATCAACAACATCCACCACACACTACATTTTCATATTCAACCCACTGTTAAACCATGAATATAAAAGATAGAATTTGTAAGTATCACGTTTTAATAGGAAAACTTTGTGAAAGTACAATGTTAAAATACAAAAATCTTGAACGTATGATACTTTAATGACCAAAAACCATCAAGACTTAATTTGTTTTACAAGTTCTTGCCATTTACCCAACAAGCAACATGTTTTCACCAATTGGTAAGATTTCTCAAAGTACAATATTACAATGTTCAAATAGGAAAATCTAGAATGTATGATAATACAATGACCAAAAAACCATTAGGACTTGATTTCTTTTACAAGTTCTTGCCATTTACACACAACAAGCAACATGTTTTCACCAACCTGGTCGGGCTGAACTTAAGCTTGTATCTTGGCATGCTATTTCTTGCATTTAGCACAAAGAAGAATGAGTAAGGAGCACCTGAGTCTATAGTTTGAATTCAACAACAAGATCTTCTAAAGGAACATATATATTTTTTTCTTCAAATAACCAATCCATAATCCGAAAATGTCATTATCGTAAACAAAAAAAAAATCATTTTTGACTTTACATGTCATTAACAAAATAAAATCGTAGAATCTCAGACAAGTTGGTCAAATTGCAAAATGAACAAACATGTCGCAAAATGGGATACTCACTAGACACAAATTAATGTTGATGATCATCTAGTGAATTATCAGAAATTAATCTATATTATAATAATATTAATGTAAGGATCATTATAGAGCTCCCATGAGAGATTGCAAAGAAGCTTACAACCGTTTCAGAACCACCATTGTCCAATCTCCTGATTGAGTAATGTTGTTATTAAAACGTCACATGAAAGCAAAGATAAGTGTTATATTGATGAAAACAAAGATTATGGTTAAATTGAAGAACATGAGATGCTTTATGGTTGCATCTTTCCAGATTAAACCAAGAAATAGTATAGCATGTCATTTTTCTATGTTGCCCTCGCCCGTCTTCCTGTCCAATCATCTTATGTTTCTATTTTCTGTATAATCGGACACATGCATAGAGGTAGGGTTTAACCCGACCTTGGTTTCTCTATTGCCCCCTATAATCCACCGATTGAGATGTTATCGTAATCCCACACTCGTCTTGAGCGAAAATCTAGTGTTTAATGAATTCAAAGATGGAAAGAAGGAGATGACATAAAATCCTATATATCCTTGTAAGCATGACAAAGGTACCCTAAATCGTCGATTCTTTCATTTGTTAGCATAGGAGTTTTCAAACCCTAAATCGCCAGCAGTTTTGTACGTGTGAGGTTCCCTTGTGACCAAAGGTATGACTAATTTGTGAGAGAAATCGGAAGAGGAAAAATAAAAATATTAATTAAAAAAAAATAGAGACCACGTGTATAGAAAAAAAAGACAAAGGGGGAGTAGGTAAAAAAAAATCTAGCGGAAAAGGGAAATAAAAATATTTGGTTCTTGGTATGGAGGGAAATTGTGGAAATTTTACTAAAAAGGGAAAATTGAAATTTTTTGGAAGACGGGAAAAATTGAACTCCCTACAAATTGTTTTTACATTTTTCAACATTTAGCTGTCAGCATAAAACACTTATAGTGATGTATGTTATTTATCTTTTATTTTTACAATTTTATACTATTAGATACACATAAAAATTAAATTGTGAGTATAAAATACTTTTAATTACATGTTTTTGTTTTTTTAAATGTCATGATAAAATACTTACAGTCACATGTTGTCATTCTTTTATATTCAAAATCATTAATTTTAGACACACATACGAAATAAAACTAGTTTCATAAACCACTTATAGTCACATGTTTTTTTAAAGGACATAATAAAATACTTACAGTCACAATGATCTACCGGGACTATACACTAGTATTTGTCACGTTTTTTTAAGTAAAATAGTGGCGATATATGTGAACATAGATTGCAATAGTGACACTGTTTAGCTAAATATGTGACTAAAACATCACTAGAATTTTATTAATGACCTTTAGTTATGCAATTAACCAAAACCGTAACAACCTTGTTTTCAAAAACCGTGGCCATATCTCATTTTTGTACTAGTGTATTCTGAAAATTAGACAGAAATCGAATAGGTGTGGGGCACCCTTTTAAGAGGCGTGACACGCCCCCCTAAACCTACTTAACTTTTAAGTCGTTAAATAACGAGTTTTTGTATATGTAACTCATTTATGTAGCTAGTTCTTCCAGAGGAAGTTCAATGAGTTCTCTCATGCTCGATTTCCACCCG